GTATTTGGTTTAGAGGTAGGTGCTTGGCACAAATATGAGGCCAAATCTCTGGGGCTAATTCTGCTCATCCTTATAATAACCCTCTATTTCCATTTTTTTTTAGAAGGGAAGCAAAGGCACGGCAGCGTAGTTTTGCTGACCTGGGCCCATAGCTTGCGTTTAGATTTCTAAAAGAAACGGGAGTTCCTCCGGAAAATGAAACTCTCTAGCCCCACATATGGTACTCGCAACAACGACGCTCTTTTGTGTGGATGGAAAAAAACACAAAAAAAGTAAGCCGCTCACGCTGGGGCCACCGACAAATACGACCCACCCATCTTATGTGTTTACTCTGTGCCATCTGTTATTTGTCTTTCGACTGTAAAAAGAAAAAAGGCCCTTCTAATTTAGCCATTAGAAAACCATAGGGGCTGTTTTCCAGTCGGACGGTTCTTTTAACGCGGCAAGAGCAATAGTGAAGATTTCCCCAGGGAATAACAATGGCGAATAATCCCACCAGCAAGCGGTCCCAGCCGATCTCTGGAATGGCACCGCTCGCTCTTTCTTAGACACGCGTCCTGTGCGCGTGTAAAAGCAAAATTCAACGAGTGAGTAAACGTCCCCCGGAGGAAAACGCTCCCCGCCTGGCACCGTTAGGGACTCCGCCCTTGCTCTCCAGATCCTGCCGGAATGCAAGCCAAAAACCCGCCTAGTAGCTAAAATGCGTCTAGAATTCCTCCGATGAAAGAACGAGAGCGGGGGGGGGGGAGAGAAAAAGACAAGGAGGGGGGTCTATCGTCCTCCTTTCCCGCCTCCTTCCCGCTCCCCTCCTGCTTCCACGTCTTTGGCATGGATTTTCTTGCAGCAGTTCCGTGCTAGAGGTCTCCACCGAGCTGTATAAGTCGGAACTGGCTGCAAAGGAAGCTTGCTCTTTCTTTTGTGCATCACCCAGTGAACTCGCTGCAAGAACCCTGCAGCATTCAGGTCCGGATTTCCATCCGTAACAAAGAGGCAGCACCTGTCTTCCTTCTTTTTCAGAAAGCGCGGAGGGCCGAGAAAGGAGGACGAAATCCGCGCGCCGCCTCCCTGCTCTCTCTCTCCCCCTTTCTCCTTGGCCGAAAGCAGACGAAAAGAGGCGGAAGGTGATGCAGACAGAGGAGAAAAATCTTGGAGCTTGAGGGCACCTCTGCAGCAGCACTGATTACAATTGAGCATCTGCAAAGCCATTGTTTCGGCCTGAGGAATCCCGGGATCTGCCCCGGCGGTTCGTCTGCGCCGAGTCCCGCCTTGAAGTCTGGCGACCGATCGCTTTCTGCCCCCACCGGCGTCGGCCTCTTGGAAAAGCATCCCCTTGGTCTCCTCCACCCTCCGTCCTCCTCCCACCCCTCGATTCTCTCTCACTCTGCGGGAGTGTACAGTATTATCTTTTGGGAGGTCAGCCTTTCTTTTGCTCGCAGCTCAATTTTGGATGTTTGCGGAGTAGAGTTCATGCTAAGCGCCGACAGGATGGATGAGTTTCAGAGTGAGGAGGAGGAACCGTGGTATGACCAGCAAGACTTGGAACAAGGTAAGGAAATGTAAAAACACGAGCACCCCAACGAGGGTTGCACTTCACACAGGGGACGGCCTGAGTCATGACCTAGCAGGTCCGGACAAGAGCAGAAGGAAGCTAGATTTAAAAAAAGCTTATCATCTCTTTTTCTGGAAGCCCTCTTTTGCAGCATCTCACGGGGAGTTTAAAGTCACCAGCTTGCACGTGTAGCCGTTCACAGTGTGCCCTGGGGACAATTTCAAATTAAAATGCCTCTGTAGACCCAGAGGAAGATTTGCTTTGCACTTGTTAGTCTGTTAGGCTAAAACTGGCTTAGATTTCTAGGGCTCATAGAGTTTATCCCCTGCAGAAACTCTTAAAACACTTGGGTGGTTTATGTCCAATTAGCTTACTCATCCTGCTAAATTTACTTAGTTTCAGTGGCGTCAATTGTAGACGGTTGTAAATCAGAGATATCTAACCAAGAATAATCCGATTTTCAATTGCAAATAATCCCAACAGTATATGAGCCAACATTTTAAAAAGAGATAATTTGTAAAACGCAGCAAAATGTTACATTGTGTGCTTCCAACAGTGTTTTTCAATGAGTCACAGCAAATTCTGCACATCATTTTGCTGAGACATAAAAGTTTCCCAATTTGGGGTACGTCACATGGAATTTGAAAATTAATAAGTATTTAGGCTTTAACTTTTTGCAGCATTACTAAATTCTGGCTTGGCATTTATCTAATTCATATTAGATATTATTATTATGGTTGGATGCATACTCAGCCAGATGTTTAAACTGTTTGGCATTTTTATCGACCTATCTAGTCCTTAAGGGCTTGGGATAGGCAGATGTTGTTTGACAGTAATAAAAGTATCATCTTAGTATTATTATTATTATTACATTTCCTAGAGGACTCTTTAGGAAAAAAATCTTTAAAATATTGATAAGAAATTAAATGCATTTTTAATCAAGTGCTGTATGCTGCCCAGAGTAACTTTCATGTGAGATGGACATCTATACAAATTAAATAAACAAACAAACAAACTGGTTTAACTTTGTATTAATTGCTGATAAGTTGTCTTTATTATAGAGAAAGGTCATAGTTTAGGACTTTTGCATCACACTAATTTAAGCATATCCTAAACTTTTCTACCAAAACACTGAAACTTAAATATACTCCGATTATGATCTTATTAAAGGATTATCATTTGTTCCATGTTGTTTGCATACATTCGAGATCCTAAAAGGAAAGATAAAATTTTATTCTCCAAGAAACTTGATTAAGGTAAGAATACATGGATATATATATATAGATATATATGCAGGTTGGTCTGTTTCTTGAGCCAGCAACAGTAAATCTGTTCTACAACAGTAAGACCACCAAGGATTTTGCTTGATGACGATGAATGGAAACTTTTGCAGTACCATGCTCTAATAATTCTGCATTATACTTTGAATGAGAAGTAAGATTGTGTTTGTATGGTACTATTTGGACAGTTAGCGCATCTTTAAATGTCAAAGTTAATATGTACTGAGCTATAGCTAAAGTGGTTTAAGATGGGAATATGCTAACTGCAGCCTTAGTGCAAGGTCAGATACACAGGTTTATACTATATCTTGCAGGAGTATCATGGCAGCACATCAGGTTGATAAACTGTAAAAATTAATGACAAACAGGTTTCAAAAAAGTGTTAATAGTAAGTACTAGAAATACAAATAAGTTCCTTAAAGTCAGTCTCAGTTCTTGGTGACTTCATGGAAATGTTCATAAACACTATTGAAAACAACATGGAAGTATTTTACAAACAGTTTTTTCCCAGGATTTTCATTTTATGGTCTAATCTACAGGCTTGATATGTTCCAATGGTCTGCTAAGCAACTGTGAGGCAGGAACAATTTTGCATAACTTTTTGATATCAGCCAAGGAACCAATGCAGAAAAACTGTTGGGATTACATGGTATCATTGCATGATGCACAAAGCTTTCATGTATTAAGACTGTTGTACTTCATGGAGCTGCATTGAACCTAGCTAAGACTCTGAAACATTGATACTCATTGTAGTGTTGTCATTTTTGGTGGGGAGGTGTGGAGATTGGTATGATGCAATATGGCTATTAGATATGTAGTATAAAGGGAGTCTAGATGCTTTCTTCAGGAAGGAAAAGCAAAATTTGGCAGGTTCTCTGCTCTTCAGATTAAATGCTTTCACTGCTAAAAGCAAAAAACTTTAAGAACAATGGTTGTTTTGTGAATTCATCTGTGAAGGATATATTACTGCTGCTTTCCTAGTTCAGTTAATGATTTGTAGAATATAAATGCTTTCCATAAGTAACAGTATTTTAATTAGAAGCTAACCTAAAGGGCTACATATACTAACCACCCCTTATTGTAGTGAATTATATCTGGTGCCAAAAGTATATAATATTTACAGTATGACACTTGTTTGCATTTTCTTTGTTTCTTAAACTACTGTAGTTTGAATATTCTTATGATTGTCCCAATTTATTTATTTATTTATTTATATTTAAACTTCTATGCCGCCCTTCTCCCCAGAGGGACTCAGGGCGGCTCACAGCATGTTAAAAAACAACACAAAAAAACATTTCCCCTATAAAACCAATTAAAAAGCAAATATATTAATAGCTGTGTCATATTTAAAATCTTTGAAAATTTTTAAAAATTATTCCCTATTTAAAA